AATAATCTCCTTACTAGTGTATCGCGTTGCGTGACATCGAATGGAGAAGGAGGAGGAGGAGGAGGAGGAGGAGGAGGAGGAGGAGGAGAGGAGGTGGTGGAGGGGGAGAGGAGGTGAGGGAGAAGGGAAGGAGATATTTATCTGCGCCGGTCGATGTCAAATCATGGCAATCAACATCCGCCCTGCTTGTCATACAACGTCACAATGTCCACAGTTAATTAACTCTTACTGAAGCCATTATAATGCTGCTGCTGCTAATGATGATGCTGATGATGATGATGATGATGAAGCCTGTAGCCTTTTGTAGCTTTCATGTTCAGGTATGAGATTATGTTAAGTTGAGGGGAGGGGGTAATTAGTTTCTGGACGCGTAATTGGACAATTTTAATTATCTGGGAATTTGAAAATAGAAGAAACTAACGTTGTGTCTTGTTTTACGTACTAATTGTGTTTCTTCTATTTTCATATTATTCATTCGTCGTATTTTATTTTTCGTAGACCCGATGAAATGGACGCGGTAAAGTTACGCGGAGTTTTCCATGCTCAGTGTGCAAGGGTCTGGTCTAATGGCGTTCTGACGTGTTAATGATTCCATATCGTGGTGTTACCCCCCCCCCCTTCTCCCTCCTCCGCTCCCCTCTCCTTCTCCCTCCTCCGCTCCCCTCTCCTTCTCCCTCCTCCGCTCCCCTCTCCTTCTTCCTTCTCCGCTCCCCTCTCCTTCTCCTCCTCCCTCCTCCGCTCCCCTCTCCTCCTCCCTCCTCCACTCCCCTCTCCTTCTCCGCTCCCCACTCCTTCCTCCACTCCCCTCTCCTTCTCCTCCTTCCTTCTCCGCTCCCCTCTCCTCCTCCCTCCTCCTCCTCCGCTCCCCTCTCCTCCTCCGCTCCCCTCTCCTCCTCCGCTCCTCTGCTCCCCTCTCCTTCTCCGCTCCCCACTCCACCTCCTTCCCCCGCTCCCCTCTCCTTCTCCTCCTTCTCCTTCTCCCTCCTCCGCTCCCCTCTCCTCCTCCCGACGGACGGAAAAACATTGCTGAGTGATGTTTGCTATGTGTTCCGCAGTGTTGACAGTGTTGCCAGGGCAACGACCGGGAAGGCAGAGGGAGAGAGAGAGAGAGAGAGAGAGAGAGAGAGAGAGCGAGAGAGAGAGAGGGAGAGAGGGAGAAAGAGAGAGAGGGCGAAGGAGGGAGAGCGCGCGCGCGAGAGATAGACAGATAGATAGATAGAGAGAGAGAGACAGAGAGAAAGCTTACACTGAAAATTTCGACTAAATCCAGGAACGTTGACTAAATCCAGGAACGTTGGATGTGGAATCGATTTAGAAATCTAGATTTTTTTTTCTACATTGGCGAACGTAAAACGTGGCCTTTTAATATCATTTACTACTGACGGTGCTTCGCTGCTGTGGACGGAAATAGCATCCGACATTTTGATTTTACGGCGACATATAAATTGATGAATGCCGTATAAAAGTAATATGTGTGTATGTAATTGCCATGTTTAATAGTTTAATAAAGTTGTTAAACAATCGACAAGCAAACAATGTCTAAATACGTGTNGGAGAGAGTAGGATTCTTCTCAGCTCTCCCTGACAGCGCCGAAATTAGTTGCCGACGGATTACCACATCCCTGCCTTGACACATTAATTACAACTTCACTCCTCCTGAAGATCTTTATGCACGTGTTACTATGCACCAGAAAAATTGTGCCTTTCCTTCAGTACATATGCCTAAGCACCTCCTCCACTATGTCATTCGTAATAACAGCAATTCATGTCGTCTCTCCCTCCTCCATACCATCGCCGCTCCCCAGACATTGGTGAAAGTGTGTATAGTGTGATCGGTGATTACCTCCCCATCCTTCTCCCTCCTCCGTCCCCTCTCCTTCTCCTCCTCCGCTCCCTTCTCTCCCTCCGACGGACGGCGAAAAAACGTTGCTGAAGTGATGTTTGCTATGTGTTCGGACAGTGTTGACAGTGGTTGCTTGAAAACAAGTGGCTTGAATTTGGTGAGAGAGGGCCGATAAGCGGATCTGGTGTCTAGCTAGGTAAGAGCGGGCAGAGGAGAGGGTGGGACGCAGACCGGACAAGGCTAAATACCGGAGAAAGAGGCACAGACACTGCTCCGCCTAGTTCAAGATAACAGAAGACACGGCAGCCGCGGGAGAATAGCAATCGTGCTGTATCAAGATTAGATAGATAGAAACATATGTTCGCAAATCAGATAACGCTCAGAGATTAGATGAATAGTATTTAGAGATAGATAGATAAACGTAGGCTAGTTTGTATTGGTATGAACTAAGAAGGAAAGAAGGTTACTAGAGAGAGCGTGTGGGAAGAGAAAAGCTTAAAAGTGAATTTCGACTAAATCCCTAATCCAGGAACGTTGGATGTGGATGATTTAGAAAATCTAAGATTTTTTTTTCCTAGCATTGGCGAAGCGTAATAACGTGGCCCTTTTGTAATATCATTTTGCTACTGACGGTGCTGTTGCTGGCTGTGGAACGAAATAGCGATCCGACATTTTTGATTTTTAGCGGTCGTGTTCGTGACGCCGAGCATATACATTGAATGAATGAACGTGTTATAAAAGTAATATGTGTGTACTGTATTGCCATGTTTTAATACGTTTAATAAGTTGTTAAATCAATCGACAGCACAATGTCTAAATACGTGTACCAAGCATTTATTTATTATAAATAATTCTTCTAAAAATTTAACATGAACCACACCGTTCGTGGATATGACCACAGCTTTGCTGCAATGCAGACTATGGTGGTAAAGCAAGATGACAATCTTGCTTAACTGTACACACATACTCCCTCTTATCTGTGACTACTACAAGTATTATATAGGTTTACGTGGGTTATATAACTTGTATATAAGTATCGATCCACGTTTAGTCTATTACTTCATGTCTCCGGCTTTAAGAATTTCTGACGAATTTTATTCAGAATTAACAGTTTAGCGTCATGCAGTGACGCACGCACTGCACGCACGCTACGGCACAACACATCACACAGCACCATTCATTCACTGAGCTCACTCCACTTCAGCTCACCACACACACACACCGCATACATACAAGCACACACGGGGCAGCACGCAGCAGCGGACGCACGCACGCAAAGCACGGCACGGCACAACACACACACAGCACAATTCATTCAGCTGACTCAGCGTCACTCAGCAGCACTCACATCTGTTCCCCGCACACACATGAGACCAAGTCTGAGACAGCTTGAGCAGCGGGAGACATCATTGAGACAGTTGCTGGCATAGTTTCTACTCAGGGCGGATGGTCAGGCCACAATAGGCCTCCCTCCTTAATACGTTTTGGGCAATTTCCGTGTACGTCTGCATCGAGTTGGTTAAGACATTACCTGTGAACAGTAAACAATTAACACGTCACTGTAAAGAATAAGCACGTCAGGCAGTAAACAATACAATCATGTAACAATAACACGTGCACAGTTAACCAATAACACATGTAAACAATAACACGTCAGCAGTAAACAATAACATATCACTTGTGAACGTACACATCAGGGCAGTAAACAATAGCTATCACTGTGACAGTAAAGCACTTACAGTAAAGCAATAAACACATCATGTAACAATAAAGTCCGCACAGTAAACAATAAGCATATCACTGTTGATCAGTACACATCAGCAGGTAAACAATTAACATATGCACTGGTGAACGTAAACATGTACAGTAAACGGATAACACATCATGTAAAATAACACGTCACGTAAAAAACAATGAACATATCACTGTGGACAGTAACCATCACAGTTAAACATATAACATATCACTGTGGCAGTAAACCATTAAGCAGTAAAAACAATAAGACATCATGTAAAGCAGTGTTTACTGATCACAGTGATATGTTATTGTTTACTGTGACGTGTTATTGTTTACATGATGTGTTATTGTTTACTGTAATGTGTTACTGTTCGCAGTGATATGTTATTGTTTACTGTGATGTGTTACTGTTCACAGTGATATGTTATTGTTTACTGTGACGTGTTATTGTTTACATGATGTGTACACATACATTCATGTAAACAATGAACACATCTGTCAAGAGTAACACCTCACGCTGGCGTGAGCGCACAATGCGGGCTCTACATGGTGATAAGCGATTAGGAGACAACTTTTATTGCTGAACCTGCGCCATCATGCTGGTGTTGTAAACAGCGAGCAATTAGTTAATTACGCAGCTTACCTGCTATGATTTCGAGCGCATCAGGATGCGCGTCTTTTAATGTGAAGCTGCTTCTCGCTGACGCATGCACGGCACACAACACACAGCAGTAACCAGTGCACGACCCAGCACACACACACACACACACAAACACACCGGCACACACACACACCGCACACAAACGCATGCACGGACCACCACACAACACGTTGCGGCACACACACGCGCGACACAACACACACACATGCACGGAACCAGCCACAAGCACGCGCGCGCGACCACACTACGCAACACGCACAGCAGCACGCGCGCGCGTCGCGCACAGCCACACACCACACGCAGCGGCACGGAGTGGAGTCACGCGCACACACACACGACGCCACACGCAGCAACAACACACACACACACACACACGAGAGCAACACGTACCAACCACACACGCACACACACAAACACACACACACGCAGCGACACACACCATACACACAGCACACACACAGCACAGACAGCATCACGCACACACACAAACAACAACACGCACACACACAGCATACACACACACACACAACGCACACACACCGGCGCACGCAGCACACCATCAGTAACAGCACATTAGTAATATCTAGCGAACACGCACACGTACAATACAGGACAGCGAAAGCTAGTCCTGCATTGATTTCTGTTTAGCTACATTCTTTTCTTCCTCGGCATGTATTTGTTCATGCCCATCAGTCCCGCATGTGCAGTCAGTCGCTCTTTCTGTCAGCTTTTAGCTGCACACCCTCGCACTATGTGTTGCAGTCAGTTCGCAATTAGTCCTAAATCCCAATTAGTGAGTTCAGATTAAGGATTAGTTGCACTCTGCTTCTGTATAGTGTGAACAGTATGAGTGAGGTGTGTATGGATAAACTGTGTATGAATGTACTACTAAGTCTAAAGTATGTCGAGAATGAGGAGGAGTAAATGGGCGCACAGTCACCACAAGACATGCACGCAATACACACACGCACAACATACATCCACACGCACGCACGCATAGACCACACATGCACGCATGGCACAGCACGGCGACGCAGCACCGACACCACACACACAGCTTCCTTCTTCCCCCATACTGCGCACTCTCGCCTTTGCACCCCTGCCTCCCTCCCTGCCCTTCCCTCGCTCTCCCCTGGGCCTCCTCTCCTGCCTTCGTGTGCTCCCCTGCCTCCCTCGCTGCCCTCCTCGGCTCTCGACCCTGCCGTTCTCGCTGCTCCTCTGCTGCCGCTCCGCTCTCCGCTTTCTGCCTCCTGCCGCTTCTCCCTGCTGCTCCTGCCTTCTGCGCTATCTCCTTCTCTCACTCGCTCTCACCTTTCATGAGGTCCTTGATGTTGTTGTCAACTCTCTGATGTGCTTCGACACAGAACGCGCGGGCCAGCAGTAGCTCATGGTCCAAGCTCTTCAACCCTGCAACGTCACAACACACACACATATATATATATATTTACATATTATACTACAGAGACACAGAAGCGGCGGCGGGCCAGCTAGTAGGCTTGCATGGTGCCAAGCTCTTCAAGCCTCGCAAGCGTCACAACATAGCCAACATATATAATATATATATATATATCATATAGCATACAGAGCAGCTATACGATCAGACACAGACGGGCGGGCCCAGCAGTAGCTCATGGTCAAGCTCTTCACCTGCAATGCCATACACACACACATATATAATATTATATGTTTATTGTGTGTGTCGTGCTATGCGTGGATGCATTTGTATGTATGTATGTGTGTGTGTGTATGTAGGTATGCATGTATATAAGTATATATATATATATATATACATGTATATGCATGTGTATATATATATTTATATATAAAAATTAGAATAAAAAATATATAAATAATATTTAAAAATTGGAAGTAACGAAGTGCCGCGGAGCGAGCGCGGCGTCGATGCTAGACGTCTACTTGGGTGACTCTGTGGTGGAGTGGTGGGATTCTAGTAAGCCCTGTTAGTCCCAAATGTCAATACAGCCAAAACAGTGGATAGGTAGGCAGGGATGGTAATCAGGAACGCTTCTTCAAAGGAATGTTCGTTTGGGATTGTTATGAAAGTGCCAGCGAGATTATGCGTGTAGCGTTTAAGTGGTCTTCAGATTAAAGATGGAAGCTGCCCATCGGTACGTAGTAGGCAACACTATTTGGCAAGACACGAATAGGTACACCGTCATCCAGTTTACCGTACGCAAGCTAAGGCAGGTTGAAATTAGAGAGCTGCACCTGTAACTAATTAATTGGCAGGTCAAACTACACAGTTGCAGCCACCACAGGGGTGCACTGGCAGTGGTATACGTTACATGTAACACACTGACAGTAAGAATGCCATAAGAAATTATACGATTTAAGAAGGCAGCAAACCTTGCTTTCAACAAAGTTGAAATTTCACTGTTGAATTGTTATGCCTATACAATCCCAGGCATGTATAGATTTTACTAGGCAAAACGGCCGGCAGTCAATTCTTTCTAGCAGTAAACAAATCCATGTTTAAGCACGTACGCGGCGCTGCTTGAGGGTCAAACGGTTATCCGACCTTAACTCTTCGCATGTCAGGGCAGAAGTACATGTTCATGTCGCTTTAAATCAAGCTATAAAAATGCTAGGTCACGCTGAACAAAAAAGTTTTTCATCGCTCGTCAGCACGCATGCTCCTCAGAAAATGCATTAAAATCTGCGCCTGTGCCCATTGAGACCGTTTGACCTGTGACTCCAAATTTCGGCACAGTGATTGGCTTTTCCTACCATGATGCTATCCACCGACTATACGAGGCCTAGGTCGAAGCGGTTTTAGATTTGTGCCGCAATTCTGGCTATTTCTCCCTATACTTAAGTTAAGGAGGGAATGTTCCCGGGCCTTCTTTTCAGCCTCTTGATTTGACCTTTGCCCCAAGGCTTCAAACATCCCAACTCGTTTTTTCGGATTACCCCCCTACGGTCCCGAATATCGTGACGTACGTCGAGCGTTAAGATTTGTGCAGCAACTGTTGACGGACGGACGGACGCTTCGAACGCTGGACGGACGATCATGCGATTCTACAAGCTGCATCTTGACTACGTCTCGTCAGATGAGCTAATAACACAGGGACACCCATATAGATATGAAAAATAGAATAACGTGTCAAATTTCAATCAGCAAAGCTTTTGAGAATATCTCTCTTCGTCAGTATATATGTATATATATACGCATATATACGAGAACAGGTAGGAAGGCATCACTAACGACACACACTAGACACACCAGGGAATTGCTCCCCATCACGGGCCAATATTGATTGGAAAAATCCACGTGATTTCCTGCACTCTGCCACCTATCTGAACACTCTGCGGTGCGTTTCTGCATGACTGTCAGGCATCGTCATGATCATGATCGATTCCACGGTCGAAATCGCTCGAGATTTCGCGTCTCTCTAGCCCCGCCTACCGACCGACCGACCGCCCGATCGTCTGCATGACCCGGGGGGGGGGGGCGGATGGTCATAGGGGGGCACTCACCGATGCAGAGCGAGCGGGACGCGCGCGACAGTACGGCCGTCATCGCGTAGATGTCGATGGCGATGTCGGTGAGCCTCGCTAGCTCCATCTGCTGGTCGATAACGGACTTTCCGTGTCGCTGCAGCACCACCTCGACGGCAAACTTGAATCGGTGGACGCTCCATTCCAACGCCTGCGCGGGTAGCTACAGACACACAAATAATGCTAGAATATATATATATATATATATGTNGCGACTGACACAAGAGAGAGAAGATGAGAGATCGGTCCGACGCTGCCGCAGCTGCCGCACCTTTGAGACCGTGTACGCGCCGATTTGTGCGCTGGCTGTGAGCGAGATGGATGCCGCGGAGACCGTGTCAGCTGATGTGAAGGACGCGACCAAAAGACGGTCGTGAGAGAGATTCGAGAGAGTGCGAGCGAGACAGGACGAGAGCGAGACAAAGAGAGACTAGCCACTAGCCTCTGATTATTATAGGGAGTTGTACAGTCGCGACAGGTTAGTCACGATGTTGGAAGGTTAGGCTGACCAAGTCTACTGAGCAGTCCGCGAAACACCCGTTCCTCTCTCTCCGACGCGATCTTGGCCAGCAGCGGGACATCATTCTCGGCTTGCCACCTCGCCGACTTCCTGACTCCGCACCGGCCGCCGCCAATCGCGGGTTCACGCGGCGATGATTCGTCCGCTCCGATTTGATCTGCGTTTTTACCTCCCGTGAGACCGCCAGCGGCCGCATTGCCCGCCAGCGCGGGTTTCGCACCTTCCTGCGAGGCAATCAGCATTCAGCTACGCTGCCTCGCGAGAGGTCCGCCACCGACGGAGCGCGGCCGCCGACGGTGACGCACTCGCGGACGTACGGGCTGCAAACAAGCTTACGCCACGATTGACGGGTTTGCGCATCTGTTAGTGTCCGCCGCCACCCCTGAGCTCGGATTAACAGCACACGTCTCGCGAGCTCATAGGCCCTATATGCACCCTCGAGCCCGTAGTGGGAATTCCTACACCTGGCTATTAAACAAGTCCTACAACCTAATCCCTATCGGTAGCCTCCGCGTAGCAGCCCCCTAAACCTAACCATTATCGGACCCCGTACGAGCCACTCCCTAACCCATATCGGAAGCCCTGCCGATTGTCGAGTCCGGTCCCTGTAGCACCCCGCTAACCCTTTAACCTATTCAGAGCCCGTAGCACCCCCTAACCCTAACCCTATGCAGCAAAGCCCTGTGACACCCCAACTGAACCCGGTAACCCTATTTGTGACGGCCCCCCCGGCGCGTTTAGCAACCCGGTTAACCCTACAACCTATAAGAGCTGTTCGTGGACCCCTATTATCCTGTTAAGTTCCGCTCTCCCTCCCTCCCTCGCCCTGCTCTCCTGCCCCTCCCTCCACCACCAGTACCTGGCGACGTGACCATTGGAGGTCAAAAGCCCCGGCATGCTGCAGGGGAGCCGCTGGCAGCGCCGATGAAGGAACCAGGATCCTCCCTCCTCCTCCTCCTCTCCCCCCCTCCTCCCTCCCCCCCCACCACCGGCGGAATGTGATCTGGGGTGACCAGTGAGGGTCGCCCCGGCATGCTGGCCAGCGACCGCGGGCCTCGGAGGGGGACCGGCCAGCGCGATGTACGCTGCACCGCGCTATCGTTCGACAGGCGCGCCTGATTTCCTCCCTGCCGCTCCCCCTCCCGTCTCCCCCTCCCCTCTGCCTCCCTATTTCCTCCCTCCACCACCCACGTACCTCCTGGCTCTGTCGGTGCGCGTGACCATGAGGGTCAGCTCCGCGGGCCTCGGCTTGCTGCAGGACCGGTTGGGGGCGCTGTGCTTCGCTCGCTGGCCGGACCCTGCCCGGCGACGCCGCCCGCCGCCGGCAGCGCCGTTCTTTCGCTGGCGACATTGGACAGAGAGGCTAAACGTCTAGTAGTTACCTACTATGCTGCTCTCGTTCGTTTCCCTCGAAAGATGAGCAGAACTTCGGGCAGGGTCGCCGGCGAGTGCCCGGTCCGGTATCTCTCGAGCCGGCGGCGACGCGGGCCCCTTACTGGTCCTCCTTGATAGGTGTAAGACTGCTCCCCTTGCCCTCCTGGACGTTTAGATGGCACCAATGATATAGTCGAGCCTGCGCAGTGTCAGCTCGTGTCTACCTCGTCTCGGGGCCTCCACCCGCACACTCAGCCCTGCGCTACGGCTGGTTGCTTGCAGCCAGCGACCGGCGCGTATGAAGACATCTGCAAAACACGGAGTTCGAATATGAGCAGGCTCTCGGGCACAGGGTATGTGAGCGATTTGCCCTCTTGGATGCTACTTGTGATACGTTGTTATTTACTCTACTTCCTGCGAGCCTCACTCTCTGCTTCGCCCTGACTCTCCCGTGATTGTAGCCATGGCTCCGCTCCGCGCCTCACCCTCGCAACCGGCGCCGCCTCACTCACCGACACCCAGCACCGCCTCAGGCTCGCGAAGATTCTTGCTTCACTGACTATAAGCGGATTATGGTGGCCGATTTACTCGCCATCTGGATTAGGTGCTCGCACTGAATATCGCGGTCGCCTTTTCGAACCGCCGGCGCTTCGACTCGCGTCCCTCGTCCGCCTGTCATAGGGGCGACAGTTGATTCTTGTCTATCATAGTCTCCCACATGTGACTGGCGCTGCGTACGACTCTTCGGCACGCCGTCCCACTCCTATCCTTGCATCGGCAGTGCACTCACCGCTCCACCCAGCCGCTGCCGCTCAGAGCTGCGAAACGTAATAATCGTCTCGTACAGACAGAGAGAGTATTAGAGATGATTATTGATTATTGAGGAATACTAGAGGAGTAACACTCGGGCTAGGTCTGTTGAGACGCAGGCGTAAGTCCCTTGACATCTGTATAGACTGTACGTAACTTGTAACCTTGATCCAGTAATCCACCTTGATTAAGCGACTGGACTCGTCACCGCACCCAGCACGCGGTTACCCAGAGCTGTAAGATTCAATGCATACGACTGAGGTAATTAGATGATGGTATTGGATTATTGATTATAGATTATGTGTAATTAATCGCATTTACTGGGGTAATTACTGTAGTAATTAATGTTTTAGCTCGAATTACGTCGCGATAGTTCCCTTGATTGGGTAATTTAGTGTGCACTCACTGTGTAGGCTCGCTCTCCGCATCACCTCCGCAGGCAGCCGCCCACTCAACCGGACCTAACAACTTCGTCAGCTCGAAGACGGCCTATGTAGCAGTGGAAGGACATCGTGAACTACACAGAGTGTGTTGAATTAATATGATTATTTGGTAGATTATAATTTAATGATTATGTAGTACGCGATTAATGTTAGCTAGATTAATGTAGATACTGTCAAGAGTCCGTTTAGTTGTTTAGGACCCTTGCCCGCCCATAGGTTTCAACATCTGGCAAATGGTCGCACTTCAAGTACTTCAACCGCTCACGTTCCAATGCCAGAGTAAGTTTCAAGCCATATAGAAGTGATAGGGTATTATATGTATGAGTAAGTATTTTAGTAGGTGAGTTTGCAGTAATATAAGAAATAAATGCTAAGTATATTTGGTTACTGTAGTAATTACTGGGGGGGTGGTATATTTAGATGTCAGTAATTTTATCTTCGGTTGTACGTGTGTTCTCAGCCACAAAGGACCGCCAATCAAAATCATTTTAGGCGGGTGCTACACGTTACATTTTGGTCGTGCAGTTTCAAAACACCGGGGACCGTGCCAATCGACGGCTGCACGCGCTCGCTGGCGTAAGTACGTGCAACCCAGCACGCCTCAGAGCTGGAAGATCTGGGTAAGAATGGTATAAAGCTCTCGACGTGCCGGTCGTGGTGACTTGATCCGCGACTAACATCTGTGTGAGAGATATGATGCGGAGGAGCGGAGAGAGACATTTTATGTTACGTAATTTTAAATGTCAACATGGGTAACAAGTATAGTCGCCGGTTCATCAGTCACTGCGGTAATTGGATTAGATTAATGTAAGTAATCCTGCAATGAGGTCAGTCAACCAGCCGGGTGTATGGAGGTAGGGAATTGGCACTGAGTAATTGGATACATTTCATGTAGTAATTAATGAGTGGGCCGTGGATGACCAGCGGTTGGTCACCCCGTCGACGACGCCTATGTTATATCTTGACAACAGCCTTTCGTTCTACCCCGTGCACACACGGAGTGGTTCAGGGAACCACCGTCACCGTGTTTACCTTACACCTTTGTGTATCGTAATTTGATAATTAACCTCGCTCGACAGTAATTAATGACTATCGCTTGACCGCCTCGTACGCGGTAAACGCAGATGAGTTTTTCCATTATGCCGATGAGGGACCCGGGTGGGAAGTACAGTTAGACCCCATAACAAAGTAATGTACGATCAATTACTGTAGTAATTAACATGGACCGAATGTTTACCGCGACAACACGAGTGGTTTCCTTGACGACGGCTACCGGTAACAAAGCCAGGGCTCCCGAGTTCACAATAGTAAAAATTACGCAAATAACTAACTCTAGTTAGTTACAGAAGGGCGAAACTCCACAAAATAGTTTCTGCTTGCCAGGCCGACGCGTTGGCATTACCTTGACGACGGGCTACCGGTAAGGTATGGGTTGATACAAAACAGCTCCGCGCTAACAAGACGACCAATGTTTACCGCCGCACGCCGTGGTTTAGGCCCATTGCTTGGAGACACACAAATATGGGTTGCATTATCCACAATAATTATTTTACCAAGGATGTTTTCTATCACATTGGGACAAGAATGACCAGACAGGACACCCACACTGAGATTTGACCTGTGGCACGACTTGTGGAGTAACTCAAATTGTTTGAGCGGGAGAGATAGGATAATCTACCCTTTTCATTAACGCGATAATCCATAGAAACCCATGCCACGTTATAATAGTTAGTCCGCTACGTGGGATTACCTCTAAGAACTAAAAATACATAGATTACGTAACAGCATAACCAAGCTATCTGCAATATGTTTTCAATAGTGGTGGAAACTATCCACACAAGAGATTTGCTCTCGCTGGTTTAATGAAGAGCTGCGTGGGTTTGGCATCTACCCTATTTAACACTCAACCTTAGCACACAACGCCACGATCATGCCTGGTCATAGACTACGCTAGATTCCTGTTGCTCATTCCACACACTCTACAAACGAAGGGGGAGAATGCACCTCATTTTTACCCTGACGATTGACAAAATGGCTTTATCCGCTGACGACGACTCTTGTTTACCTTGACGATGGCGGCCTCTAGTGAGCAGTCGGGTCTCTCGCCGGAGTCGAGCATGCCGGCGGTGAGGTACGCCATGCTCTCCATCGCGTAGCACGACACGGACATCTTCGCAAACTTCTGCTTGATGAGGTCGAACTCCGCGAGGCTCTTGCCAAACTGCTTGCGCGTGACGGCGTGTTCAGCTGTCATCGCTACATAGAGGGAGAGGAAGATAGAGGTGGTTAGATAGAGGAAGCCATATAGAGGAAGCCATATAGAGGAAGAGGAAGATAGATGTTAGTCAGACAGAGGTAGGTAAAATAAAGCGATGCTCGGCTTAGGGTGGTTACAAAGGCGGGTGTCAGATAGGGAAGATTAAGAAGGGGAGAGTATTAGGGAGTGATCAGATAGAGACAGATAGCAAGTGCGAGGATAGGGTGATCGATTAGAGGAGGACAGATAGGAGTCTGAGGGAGTTAGCGTGTGATCGATAGGAGATAGGACGATAAGAGTGGAGAGATCAGGGGATGTCAGATAGGAGAGAACAGAATAGAAAGTGAGAGAATAGGGGTGATATGTAGAGGTGTTGCACTGATAGAAGTGAGACGATAGGGGTTGATCATGATAGAGGAAGATGAAGTGAGAGAGTACGCTGATCAGATGAGAGAGGCAGATAGAAGTGGGAGATAGGCGGTGATCAGTTAGGGTGGACAGATAGAGTGGAGAGATAGGGTGATCGATGATGGTGGACAGTAGGAGGAGAGATATGGGTGTGTATCTGGATAGAGGGTTGATCGATAGAAGTGGAAGATGATAGGGGTTAATCAGGATAGAGTGAAGAGGATATGGGGTGATCAACGATAGAGGTGGACAGATAGAAGTGTCGAAGAGGATATGGGGTGATCGATAGATGTGGGACAGATGAAGTTAGGAAGAGATAGGGGGTGATCAGATAGGGGGAAGTAGAGTGGAGAAGTTAGAGTCTGATGCAGATAAGGAGGACAGATTAAGGTGGGAGATAGGGAGTGATCAGATTAGAGACGTGGACGATGAAGTGTGAGAGATGGGGTGTCATGATAGGAATGAGGACATGTAGAAAGTGGAGAGACTGGGGTAGTCAGATAGAGGAGGAAGATAGAGTGGGGAGAGGGGGAGTCGTGGGTGGATCAGATAGGAGGTGATCAGATAGGAAGTGGGAGATAGGAGGTATCAGATAGAAAGTGGGGTAGGGTGATTACGGGTGGATGATAGAGTGGATGTGATAGGGGTGATCGATAGAGGTGGACAGATAGAGTGAGGCTAGGCGGTGATCAGTATGATGGGGACAGATAGAAGTGGTAGAGTAGGAGGTGTATCCGATGAAAGGAGTGAAGATAGAAGTGAGAGATAGGGGTGATCGATTAGAGTGGACAGATAGAAGGTCGGAGATGTAGGTGGTGATCGAGAGAGGAGGACAGATAGATAGTGGGAGAGTAGGGGTGATCTCTTAGAGTGTGGACGAATTAGAAGGGGCAGAGGGGATAGGGTGTGATCATGATAGAGGAGTCAGATAGATAGTGGGAGGATAGGGTGTGATCAGATACAGAGCGTGATCAGATAGAGGTGGACAGATAGAAGTGGAGAGATAGGGGTGATCAGATAGAGGTGGACAGATAGAACTAGTTATCGCTACATGGGGAAGAAGTCAGATAGAAGTAGTTAGATAGAGGAAGCCATATAGAGGAAAACATATAGAGAAAGACATATAGATGAGGGAAGATCCCCAGGTAGTCCTCGCTACATGGGGGGGGGAGAGTCAGATATGGGTGTTCACGAAGAGGGGGTCAGATATGGGTGTTCACGAAGAGGGGGTCAGATATGGGTGTTCACGAAGAGGGAGCCAGATATGAGTGTTCACGAAGAGGGGTCAGATATGGGTGTTCACGAAAAGAAGCCTCAAGGTCAGATAGATGGGGTCAGATAAACGTGCAGAGACAGTAGTGGTCACTTAAAAGTTGGTTGTCGCCACACAAATGGGACACACATCGTTCAAATAGAGGTAATCGCATAAAGGTGAAGGTTGTCACCGCTACACGAGCCCACAAATCACAGATCACGAATACGCGATCATGCCGTTGACGCGAAAACGAAGAAAACGCGACGGTAGACAAAACAATGCAGCGCTCACACCGTCCTCTCGTCTCAAGCACGTTCTCTTGTCGTCGCGCTCACCGATCAGGTTCTTGAGCACGCCGGCTCCGCTGCTGCCCATGCTGAATCGTCCGCTGTTCAGGATGTTCATCGCGAGTTTGAATCCGCTGCCGACGTCGCCGAGGACGTTGCACGTGGGTACGGGCGTCGCGTCAAAGTGTAGCTCCGTCGCTGCAATCACACGCATGCAGAGGGCGCCACCGTTAGTCAACGCAGAGGGCGCCAACGCGAGTCATTATTGAAAGACAGAGGGCACCACCGTGAGTTGGCACGACAGCGTGAGGGCGCCATCTGGCGATATGAAGTCGACTGTGACGTCAATACATCGGCCCGAATAGAAATTTTGATTTCACTGTACTTCGCTCGTACTTCGTACTCTCCCGTCATTTATAGTACGCGAACTAAAAACATGAATCTGCAAACGTGTAATAATCAAATTATTACGTTATTAACAAAACTATAACAACTATTAAATACTGAAAGAAGAAAAAACGAAGCAAAAAGAAGAAAGGGAAATTTGTCATGGAACATCACCGAACAGTAGTATCCTACATTGCACGGTGGGGGTTCGTGAACCCTACATTGCACGGTGGGGGTTTGTGAACCCCACATTGCACGGTGGGGGTTCGTGAACCCTACATTGCACATTGGGGGTTCGTGAACATACTGTTTGATCCGCGTATTCCCAGCTTGTCCTCTGCCTTGCCGTGCGTGACCCCGCCAAACGATCTCTCCACGATGAACGCCGTAACCTTGTCCGACTTCTCTCCCTTCAATCATTAACGAATCTCTCTTAATTAATTACTTCTCTTCCTGTGTTCATCAACGAATCTCTCTTAATTAATGACTTCTCTCCCTTCAATCATTAACGAATCTCTCTTAATTAATCACTTCTCTCCCTTCAAGAATTAACGAGGTGCTAATTAACAGCAGAACGAGGAAGCAAACATAAATAGTATCGTTACACACTGTTCAATAAAATAGTAATAAGACGTGTTATGATTGACAGGAGAGGAATTGGTGGGAGAGCAACAGCAGAAGGACAGAAGAGGAAGGAACAGCATGGGAGGAACAGCATGGGAGGAACAGCATGGGAGGAACAGCATGGGAGGAACAGCATGGGAGGAACAACAGGTGGAGAAACAGCGGGGAACACGCCAACGACCGTGCGTTCCGAACCCACCAGCGGATCGGTGATCTCGGTCTTCGCGAACACCGTGAACACGTCGGCGATCCCGCCGTTCGAGATCCAGATCTTGTTGCCGGTGAGCAGGTAGTGTGTTCCATCTTCGCTCAGCGTCGCACGAGTCTGGATGGACGCGGCGTCGCTACCACTGCAACCGCCGCCAGCGAGAGCGAGGGACAGAGAGAGAGAGAAAAAGGATGGTTAGTTCATTTGTTTATCTATTCAGTTATTTATTTACTTTGTTTATTTAGTTTTTCGATCATTGAATTAGTTGTAGAGATTAATTTATTTGTTTAGATGCTAGTCTGTTCGGTAGTGAGTTTATTTATTTGCTCATTTTTCTTTTTAGATACGTGTTAGTTCTCTAAGATACAATGTCACATTTAATAAGATATACTGAGAGAATACCCATGTATCATCAACGAATCTCTCTTAATTAATGACTTCTCTCCCTTCAATCATTAACGAATCTCTCTTAATTAATTACTTCTCTTCCTGTGATCATCAACGAATCTCTCTTAATTAATGACTTCTCTCCCTTCAATCATTAACGAATCTCTCTTAATTAAT